GATGTCTTTCGAAAAGAGTAGAGGTGTGACCTCGGCATCCTGGCCAAATTCGCCCACTGGCCTCTGACCATCATGGCCTCCTAACCATCCCCATATCTGCTGATTGGCTTCATCGCTCTGTCTCCTCTCCACCAATAAGCTGGTGTGTGGTGGGCGTTCTGGCACAATATGACTGCCGTCGCATCATCCAGGTGGCAGGTGGATGTTGGTGGTGGTTGAGGAGATTCCCCCCTTCCATGTTAAGCGCTTTGTGTACCAAGAAAAGAGAAAAGCGCATGTAACAAATTATCTATATATTGTAGCGTCTGCGTAAAATCATGGATGGTCTTTGGGGTTTATGGCTTAAGAGACCCCTTTTAGCCTTTTACATTTGCATATAAATTACAGTCCTGGCCACATGCCACATTTATATGGATGCTAAATTACCAATGGTTCCTCTCACTATCAAGGAGATGTTGAACAGCTCCACCACTCGCAGTTCCTCTCAAGATGTTGAACAGCTCCACCACTCGCATTTCCCCGTCTGACTTCAAACACATTCCAAAGATTCCAAAGAGACCCCCCGGGGCCAGGCACCAATGGGCCTGGCGGACCTGCAAACTACACCATACACACAATACACAACACACACACATATAAACCTTTTCCTTATTTAGACAATAATTATTCAGTTACAAATGTATTTGGTATATGCATGTGTTGTTTGTATGTTTCCCTATTAGATTAGCTGAGTTACCACTCGTTATTTGTATTAGTTAAGCCCTAAACACTGATATTCAGGTGTATGAATGTATCTCTGGTTTAATATATTCTAAATGTTTATTTCTTGGTATCAATATTATCTGCTCTTTATTCCTCAAACAATGATGTACAGTATGTGATTGTGAAACGCATCATACGATTTGTACTATATTTTGGGTTAAAACTGCACCAATTCCAGACCGGCCATAAAACATGCAAATGGGCCATAAAAGTAAACAAAGGAAACTTCTCCCGCTCAAAAATTCACGCCTGGTATTGGCTATTCCACCCAAAAGGTGGGTGTGGACAGGAACTCTCAAAAGTAATTTTCTCGCACTAATCTCTGCTCAGAAAACCTCTTCTTTTGAGA